AGGAGCTGACAGTGTGAGCTGGCTTACTGGTGTGGTTTCCTGCTTGCTGCGAGACAGCGAGACATCGCGAATGGACGCGGGAAGGGGGGGGGATGCTGAGGGGGCTGCACTCGCCCCATCTGCGAGGCTCCACTAGCACCCGCATCCCCCCCTCGCACCCCCAAACGCGGCGCACCTACAGTGTAAGCGCGCCACTAGAACCCCCCCCCCCCTCCAGCGCGTCACATTTTCACTGCTAAAAGAGTGTGTGTGTGTGTGAGGAGCTCCACGCATTTGGACCAATGGGTCCATTTGGGTCGTCGTTACGTCACTTAAAAGAGAAAAAGAGAAATCTCCAACGAGGCGTTCTGGGGCAGCATAGACAGGTCTTCTCTGTGTTCGAGTTTTACTCGCTACAGGGTGTACTTTGAGGGTTTGTGACTCTGCAGACCGTTTACATGCAGAAAAACCTTCATAACACAAGGGGACAGGTAATAACCGGAAAAGCATGACATGGGACCTTTAAGGTCGAAGAGTATATAGATCAGAGCAGGCAGCAGGTTTCAGCTACAGATAATATTTCTGTCTACGAATGCAAAATTCAGCTCTTTGAAAAATACAAGATGGGTTTTAAATGAGACATCAGTGATGGTACAGAGTAGTATAGTAAGACGTCTTACACTTGATTTTATCCTGTGGTTTGTTTTGCTGCTTGGGATATTTATATCAGCAACCAACCACATTATCCAGGCAGCTAAATGAGGATTAGCATTGCATTGTGGGAGCTCCAGTGGTTTGGACCTTGTTTATGGCTCAGTGTGTAATGAGCTGCCATCACCTTGGTGAGGCAAGAAAGACATCACTGTTTTCTGTGACGCTTATGTCAACATCAACTGTCAGTTTGTGTGTGTGTGTGTGTGTGTGTGTGTGTGTGTGTGTGTGTGTGTGTGTGTGTGTGTGTGTGTGTGTGTGTGTGTGTGAGAGAGATGGATGCAACCTCACCTCCAGTAGTTTTGCTTCATTTCAGTTGCAGTAAAACATGCCAACAGTTCACACCAGACATTTGATTTAAAGGGCCCATGTCATGCTTTTCCGGTTATTAACCGTCCCCTTGTGTGTTATGAAGGTTTTTATGCATGTAAACGGTGTGCAGAGTCAAAACCCTCAAAGTACACCCTGTAGCGAGTAAAACTCTAATACAGAAAATACCTCCCCAAAACGCCTCGTTGGAGATACGTCATTGTCCATTTGATTCTTCCGGGTACGGCATGATGTAATCCCGTACCCGGAACGAAATGGACCAATCCCTGGAGCCGTTACGTTACGTCCGCGGAGCCGTTACGTTAAGTCCCCGCTGATTGGTCCAAATTGACCAATCCACGGACTTCCTCACACACACACACACAGTGCAGGCAGCTCTGCTGATTTCTCCTCCCTGGCTGCAGGCTGATAACAGACAGTTGGGATTGCGGCGAAATTCTCTCTGCAGACCCATTCTCACAGCGTTTATCAACCTTTTTCTTACTCAATATCAAGCCACACTTATTGTTTTTACTTCGGCTGTGACTTTGTGTGTGCTCAGGATGAGTTTGGCTGTGTTTCGCTGTGTATCGCTAAACAAGGAAACCACACCTCCACGGAGCTCAGCGCGATTCACAACGTCCCGACCAATCAGAGCACACTGTGCTCACAGGGAGCTACAACGAGCCGTTAAAGGCAGAGAGTGAAATTCAGTGAATACAAGTAGTTTACAGAGATGCTGTATGAGAAACCAATGTGAGTTTGGAAAATTGCACAATATAAATCTATTCTAGTAGACCTCAACAATGGAATTATGATCAGTGGAAATGGCCATGACATGTCTCCTTTAAATGGTAAACGATTTATTTGCTTGTAACCTGACATTATTTCGTTTATTTTCACACACTTTAGCACAGCTAACAAAAGTACTTGTTTGTATAACTTTTCTTTGAGTTAACGTGGTCGTTACTTCCTGGTTCAGCAAAAGGCGTGGCTAAGGGCTGAGGATAAATACTGCAAGCAGCCAATTGGGTAAAATTGGGACAAACCACATGCTTCCATGTCAAAGGGGGGATTTGGGTTTGTTCAGTTTCCTTTTGTATTCTGTTAAGAGGTCGAGCCCAAGACAAGACCAAGACTTTAAGAGGTCGAGCCCAAGACAAGACCAAGACTTTTTTTTTCAACTGGTTCAGAACTCTGCCGCCCGCATCATCACCAGAACCCCCTCCATTAACCACATCACTCCTGTTCTTCAGCAGCTTCACTGGCTTCCCGTCAAATCCCGTATAGTTTTTAAGATTCTGCTCCTCGCCTTTAAGGCCATCCATAACCTCACTCCTCTGTACCTCTCCGACCTCCTGCACATCAACACACCCATCCGCACACTCAGGTCTTCTGCTTCCCTCCACCTCACTGCACCCCCCTTCCGTTTAACCACGATGGGGTCTAGAGCCTTCAGCCGCTCTGCACCCCGCCTCTGGAACTCCCTCCCACCTGACATCCGCAACACTGACTCTCTCCCCATTTTCAAATCACGCCTCAAAACATATCTCTTCACACTCGCATATCCACCCTGATCATTATCCATCACACATCCTCTGTTTTTATTTATTTGGTTATTTGATTGATTTATATACTGCATTGTCTTGTTTATGTTTCTTATGCTGGTGTTATCTATTGTGTATCTTGTTTTTTATGTATTTGTACGGCGACCTTGAGAGCCTTGAAAGGCGCCTATATAAAATAAATGAATTATTATTATTATTATTACTTTAAGAGGTCGAGACCGAGTCAAGACCGGAACCAGACTACTGTCCAACACTACATGATACACTTAAGATTCCATGTGTAAGATACCATAGTCAATTTGATCTTAAAGATCCACCTCATCAAGACATATATACGTAAGATATCAATTCAACTTCATCATATTTATTCAAAAAGTTATCCTTTTCATATAAAAACAGTCACATAGTAAGAACAACAGATCAGTGCCATGTTTACAAACATTGCAGCACATGAGGGCAAAGATTCGGAGTCACGTGAAGTCACGTTATTGGTTTAATTTTGTAAACAGGGCGTTTTATATCCAATCACATCCCCAGCAACAGCCGTGGTCTCGACCATGGATGTATAATAAGAAGTTAAAATCTCGAGACCTATAGGTCCGAGACCGAGACAAGACCGAGAACAAATGCAGTCGATTCCGAGACAAGACCAAGACCGTTAAAAAGTGGTCTCGAGTACTACAACACTACTAGCTAGCCCATTTCCTTATTAGAAAAATAAAACACCATTTGAAACAGAATACATAATGTATATCTACAGCTTGTTGAAATCATTTGTTCTTTTAATAAATGTATCCCTCACAGTTTAAAGTAAGAGGAAGTAAACATCTTGTTTCTGGCTGAGGCAGGCAGTGAAAAGCTCTGTCGCCCCCCCCCCCCCCCTGTATGCCCCCTGCCCAGCACACTGACACAGTTAAATACTAAAGGTGAACACAGTGGAGGATTTAGCAGCTTAAGAGCCTATAGAGCTGGTGAAGAACAAAACAGAGCTCAGAGTAGAGCGAATATTGTACTTTGTCTGGGTTCTTCACGACTTGTGCAATTGCAACTGAAAAAATATATATCAATTAATGAATAGTTATCCTACACGATTTTGACATGGGCGCTTCTTGTTGGTCAGACAAGAAAGATCCATTGGTGTTAATTTGGATAAACAATGTTGAACTAAACAATGGATAAACCATGTTAAAATGCCAACTCATTCCAGACATGTCTTTGTTTCAGTATAACTATCATTGTTGTGGTTACAAATATCCCTGGCATTTGTTCAAATGTCATTATGGTTTATTGAAGCCTTTCTGTCAAGGGTAAAAATATTATTTAAAAACATATAATCTAACCTGCAGTCCTAACCATCATCATTTTGGAAAGAAAATGTCATGTTATGAGTCACAGCCTGAACAAAAGGCACTACAGTATGTCCAGGTCATAGAAAGAGAATGAGAAAGAAAGAATGAAAGAAAGAAAGAAAGAGAGAAAGGAAGAGAGAAAGAAAAGAAAGCAGTCATAATGGGTCCTTAAGTGATGATGTAAAAAAGGTTTCATTATCCATAGTTTTTAAATGTTTTGGTTTTCAAAACTCGATTTGTGACATTGTAAGTAAAACAATTCCAGTTTCAACCAAGCAATCAGTAACTTTGCCCTGATGTTTAAGTGCAGCTGATCTGTGAGCCCAGTTTATACTTCACTGTATCCACATGGCCTTGGGGTACATTGATGTAAGGATTGTCTGAATCAGAAATGTTTTTGCGTCATCAATGACAGATAGTGTTGCATAACTCTAATTTCCACATCTATTAAGGCAAAGCCCTTCATTGTGGCAGCAGACCAACACAAAGGAGTGCATATAGCATGGATATAACATGTTTTGTTCTGATGTGAATCTTCATAAGCAATGGTGTACAATATACAGTAAATAATATAAAGTCACTTAAATTGTATTTGTTACTTCCCACTCTGAATAGAATGACATATATACAATATGGTAACCTTCTGTATGTAAATAGTGTCAATATTACTTCTAATTTAGCTATACATATTGTTACTACTGCTGTTAAAGATATGTTGTCATTAGGAATGGCAGTAGGTTTTCCTGCATAGATGTTCCACCCCACAATATTTCTGCGTTAGTGGACATTGGTTTCAGTTCATTTTGCTTCTTCCTTAGTGAAGCATTAAATATATTTGGTGTGCATAAAAAACATATTGCTTTAAGACAGTCTTCTTTTGTCTTGAAATGGCTCAGTAAAACATCCATAAACATTAGCAGTTCTTCTGAGGTCACATTGATTGAAATATGTCTATTAGCAACTGTCTGCTAAAGTATTTGAATAATGATTAACAAATACATGAGCAAATTGATGACTTCACATGCTAACAAAAACGTACTTACTTACATACTTAAGACTCATATACTCTCTCTCCTGCACACAGGAAAACCCTGATTGGTCCAGAGCAGTGAGCAGGAAGTGTTGAATCCAGTTTGGGATTATGGGAGCATCTACATTGGGAAAGGCAGCATCTCTAGATGCTCTCCTCAAAGAATGCACTCGTGCATTTGGTAGGTGACCCTGAATCAATTGCAACCAAGTGTAATAATAGCAACTAATGAACATGTCAGGGACAGATACATAAGATATATCACGCTTAAGATACACAGACAATGACAAATGCCTCTTTATATCAGATTTGTTGACAACTAAAAGTTTCATCAGGACTATTCATTCAGATAAGTAATTAGGGAAACGGCCCATTTATGCTCACCACATAAACATTAACATTAACACAGTGCCGGGTACCTTAAGTTTAATTTGCTGACATTTTGTGACTCACTTCTGTCCATAGATGATAATGGGGAGCTGCAGGCCAACCTGCTCCCTCGCATCCTGCTGCTGATGCACCGCTGGTACATCACATCCTCAGAACTGGCGGGAAAACTCCTGATGATATATCCCATCTGGCAAAAAGCCTGGAGAAAGACACAGCTAATGCACATTAAAACATGGCTGTAAAGCAACAAGGATTCAGTTCAGTTAAACAACACTGTCAGCAGTCATGTTACCAAGGCCACAATTGTTTATGATTAATAACAAAGAGACCATTTTCCCTATTACAAGTTAGAGTAGCTTCAAAATAGTTGAAGACTAAGATCAAATAATAACATAATGTTGTTTTAACAAAATGTTTAAAGATGCTGGCTATTGTTTTCATGTTGCCCGAGATATTTACTGCAGTAATGTGATTCCTTAGATACATTAATTCCCACAACACAGGAAATCCAACCTTAATCTCAAAATCAAGAAAACATAGCAGTTGATGTTTCATTTGACTTCAGAGACTGATTCTCCATGACCTTTATTGGAGCTTTGGTGTTAATTTGAAATGGGCAGCATTGATCCATGAGTACTGTACGGTGGCCGACAGGTGCAATTATTCTACAGCGGCCAAAAACACTTCCATTAGCAAAACGCACTGAAGCTTAAAAAACTATGCAGATCAAAAATACAAATGTTCCAAAACAAATGCAAATAAAGAAACAGCTTCAACAACTTGACGACACATGCGCAGCGTTTACTAAAAGCACTGCATAAACGAAACACTGCAAATACTAACTACCACTGTTGTTGGAAACTTAACTAAAATGTAATTTCTGTTGACTTTACTTTGACAATGTGATCATATGATTCCTTCCGATATAATTGCAGATCTGCTGTAAGCTAGCTAGCTAACATAGCTAACCCACTCATTTAAAATATACTGACAAAACACTTACCATTATGAAACAGGCTGTGACCACATGCGCTCCGGTCCCAGCAGTGTGCATCTCTTTTAGTGTCCCCTGGGTTCCGTTGTGTTTTTAGCTTATGCCAGCGTTTTTGTGTTTTGTTTATGCAGCGCCTTAAGTAAACGCTGCGCATGTGTTGTCAAGTTGGTGAAGATGTTTCTCTATTTGCATTAGTTTTGGCACATGTGTTTGAATGGTCGGCTACCAAGGTCCAGATCACTGGACACAAGAGTAAACCAACTGAGATTACTTTCTCTCTTCCATGCATCAATCTGCTATTTAGGTGAGAACTACCATAAAGGTCAAATTAGATAAGCAATAGCCACTGCTTTGGAAGAGTTACCCCTAGATTCCACCAGGTCCGTCTGCGGTGCGTTACGGGCGCGTTACGGGCGCGTTACAGCTGTGCCACGGTGCTCACGGCCACTCTAGTCAATGGGTGCTATTCCACCACACGCGGAAGCGTCCCAGAAGCGTCTTGGCGCAGGGCTCCTCTAAAATTAGGATGAATCCTATTTTTGACGCGGCGCAGCCGTAACGTAAGGTCGGGCAGGCAGGAAGTGGAACGGTCAGAGCATATATAGCATATATAGCATATATATATATATATATATATATATACACACACACAAACTAATTTTGCAGACCCTATCCCTCCGTAGTCTTTCAAGTAGGAGGAGAAATGCCAGCGTTCTCCTCCGGTTTACAGGCAGTGTAAATTATATATATAGAATAATTATGATGATGAATGCATTTTTTTAACACTAAAATACAGCAACACATCTTTGATTCATGTCGTTTATAACTGGAATATTACAGTTATTATTAACTTTGTCTGTACAACGTAGCCTGTCCAGGAAATATGCCCAAATCAACAAAAACTGCGAGCCGGCAGGCAAGACGCTCCGCTTCTGAAATGCTTCTGAAACGCGCCTGGTAGGGTATGACGCCGGAGGAGGCCGGACCAAAACCACGCCGCAGCCGTAACGCGGCGCAGACGGACCCGGTGGAATCTCGGGGTTAGGAGAGGGGAAGGCTGGATTGCAATGTTTACGTTTTTCACATTTTGGAAAAGTCCTTAACTGAAGCCCACGTATCGTGACTGCAAAGATGACAGCTGCCAAAGAACACGGTTGAAGATTTGTTATTTAATGAGGTAAGGTGCTACTTACTTACAGATTCATCCATCACATCACATTAAACACTTTTTAGTCTCGGCTTCTTGCAAATCTTAACCCTAGCCCTCAGAAAAGCCAATGCTATAACCTATTTTCACCTTATTTATGTGGTTATTTAGTGGGAATGCTGATACAGCATTCCAACTATATGTTATGCTACGGACAAAATTCTTATTATTATTCCATCCAATTATTTTGGCCCTCTTCTCCTCCCACATTCAACATCGCAGAAACCCCGTTCAAACATCAAAACGTTCAGCTCGGTCGGGAATCGCAGGCTAATACTTTTATCAATCATAACTTTCATAATTCCAGAGATACATCCCATAATTCATCCAATTTTTAACATGGAAGTCAATGGAGACATTCTTCAGACTTCAACAAATCTTCATGCGACTTCAACTGCTAACTGTTCATTCATACTTTCACTCAGAAACCTCATTCCAACTTTAAAATGTTACACATCTTTCTGACATTATTCGTGTAACACAACTTTTAAATCTGATTCTTACTTTTAGAGATATTAAACATTGTTCAGACCTTGTTAAAGAGGTTTTCTTCAGATTTTAACATTAACTAGAGTGCGTGATGTCACAGCTAGAGTGTGGGAATTCTTGAAATGTGCCTTCATATTTTTTTTTAAAACTGCCATAATTCCCAAACCCTACATTCTTGAGACATAGTTTTTCATGACAAACGTAGGAAAACATCTCGTAGCTTGAAAAATGACAAATAATTAAGCAAAATAATTAAACAAAATGCCTCTTGAGGGCATGAAGTGACAAAAACGTTCAACATGTCTCCATTAAAGCCCATTGTAATTTCAGGCAGATATTTCCTCACAGCAGCAGCCGCACACCTTTAGTTAAACTGCCAAAAAGGCCACATTATTAACACGAAAGTACACAAAAATTACACTTCAGATACTCAACTTCCTTGACATGCTTCACGTTTTGAAATTTCACAGATATCTGTTATCGTTCTTCCACAAAACGTTCACATGTAAGAGGTTTATCTCTCATTCAGAACAATGCAAACCTTTGATCTCTCCAGAGCTCGTTAGCTCAACTATAAACACCTGTGTAATGGAACACGATGATGTCATCACTCCAACTGACAGCAGTCAGTTCTAACTGTTCATTTCATACGCACACTCTCTCTCTCTCTCTACCACACACAGACACACACACTCTCTCTCTCTCTCTCTCACACACAATGTTCCAAACGGCCCAAAAACTTCACAGGTTTGGTAACGATGCAGCCATCAACGCATCTAAGCGTAGTATGGGGTGTCATCAAATGAACACTCGCCATGAAACACGATGTCGCTGTAAGTCCAATGGACACGGTCCAATCGTCCCCCAATCTTCACTTGTATATCACCGGTCCATGCCTCAACAGCTCTACGCCAAATTTGAAATCTCACCATATGCAGTTTCCATGGAAACGCATCCCTCGCCATAAAACACGATGTCCCTTTAACTCCTATGAAAATGTTCAAAAAGTGCTCAAAATTCACATGTGTGCTAACAGTCCAGCCGTGAAGACATCTACGAGACAGTTTTGAGATTTCTTCAAATGCCGTTGCCATGGCAACACAATGCTCGCCATGAAACACGGTTTTCTCATAACTTCAGTGAAAATGTTCCAAACGGCCCAAAACTTCACAGGTTTGGTAACGATGCAGCCATCAACGCATCTAAGCGTATTATGGGGTGTCATAAAATGCCGTTGCCATGGCGACAGATCATTCGCCATCAAGTTAGTTCAAAAGTTTGCAGTTCAAATATTCTGCTGCTTTTCCAAGCCTTTTTACTTTCTTTTCTTCACTCATCACACATTCAAGCCCCCAGTGTTCATGTATCATTTCAATCTAAATTCTTCACTTTCTTCTTACACATTACATTTCAGCATAGCAGTTTAGCGTCAGCTTTTCAGCATAAAGCATTCCCACTAGCAATTTCTTCAGGAATTGCATTCTCTAGTTAAGACTAGTTTTACAGTTTGGCTTACAATTCCAGTTTATGCAGAATCGAACTTAAAAATCAGACATCAAAAGACATCGTGTCTCTCATGTCTGCATTAAATATGACAATGAACATTATGCAATTGTTTTAACCTTGAATCAAACCAGTGACTTGAGTTTTAAGGACAACATTGCTCTAAGCTGGGTCACAAAGGGTGGGGACATCCCACAATTGTAAGTTGTAAATGTGACGTAAACTTTTGGGCACTTCCTGCACCATACCACAACAATACAAGGGCATCACATGTGAGTCATGGGTCACAAGGTCAAAAGGGTCTTTGTTTAGGTTAGTGGAAAGTTCATGGAGGTCAAATGAAATGTTTTCCATTGTGGCACAAGTTGTTTTTCCTCCCTCTTTGTACTGTCAAAATACTTGCTGCTGATGTCTCTATGTGTGTTCAGGTACTGGATTGTGACATTCCCTGCAGAGTTTAACCTGGACCTGGGTCTGATCCGGTTAACAGAGGAGTTCAGAGATGTGGCTGCTCAGCTGGGCTCTCAGGAACATTTCAAGCTACTCGACATCTCCACCATGTAAGACACGAATACACATATAACCTTTTAAAAACTATTGGTCAGTGGTACCAAGTCTATTTTGCAGCTGCTACGTAACACATGACCAAAAATAATTAAAGCCTACAAAAATGGAAGTGAATAAAAAGAAAAAAATGTGATGAGTTTTAACAAATAAAAAGTGTAATTCTATTTTTTTGCACAATTTGTTTAAAATCCATGTTAGCAATTTCACAAAATAGTCCATCCATCTGACAAGTGTGGCATATGAAGGCGTCGGTTAAACAGCATGATTATACTACACAGGTGTTCCTTGAGCTGCTGACAATGAAAGGCCACTCTAAAATGTGCAGTTTTTATAGACAGCAAAATGCCACAGATGTTCTAATGGAGTGTGCCATTGGCATGCAGGACTGTCCTGTTGCCCTCACACTGCTATTAGCCATCTCAAATGTTGTTTCTGAGAATTTAGATGTACATCCATACCGGCCTCTTTCCTGACCTGATTACAGTGGGTCAAAGTAACTGACTTGATTGGACAAATGCTCCACTCAATGGCGAATTCTTGTACCTAAGGCTTTAAGTAGCTTCAGACGGTAGGCTATACATTGTTTTCAATAAATAGGACTGTATCAGATATGTTTTAGATTGTTTTTGCTCAAATTTAACAAATTGTTATCCCTGTAGTCCGTCGTACGACTGGATGCGTAAGTTGACCCAGCGCAAGAAGCAGGCTAAGAAAGGAAAGGCCTCCCTGCTGTTCGACCACCTGGAGCCCATGGAGCTCGCTGAACATCTCACCTTCCTGGAGTTCAAGTCCATCCGGAGGATATCGGTATGTCATTGATCACATATGGAATAATACACTTTCTTTCCATGATAGCTCTAGCTCTCCCCTGCTGAAAAAACCAGCATAGACCAGCATGGATGTCATGCTGGTCTATTTTACCTATATCTATGGTTTTAGCTGGTGAAGCTGGTAGTTAAGCTGGTCCATGCTGGTGAAGCTGGTATTTATGCTGGTCTTCCAGCAGTCTTCAGCATGGGGAAGCTGGTACACCAGCATGGTCTCATTATGTTACAGCTGGTGAAGTTGGATTACCATTTTAGCTAAATAAATAGAGAGAGAGACATAGACAGAGAGGGAAAGAGAGAGAGAGGGAAAGAGAGAGAGAGAGAGAGAGAGAGAGAGAGAGAGAGAGAGAGAGAGAGAGAGAGAGAGAGAGAGAGAGAGAGAGACGGGTTGAACAGCCCTTCAACGACTATTGGATTGATATTTGGTACAGACATTCATTGCCACCAATGGATGAATTCTACTGGCTGGCTCTTCTAGTGATCATCTAAAGCAGCGGTTTTCAAAGTGTGAGGCGCGCCTCCCTAGGGGGGCGCCAGAGAGCTTCAGGGGAGGCGCAGCGTGAGAAAAAAATTACGAGAAAAAGATTAGTAAAGTGTCACTTGCACACTTTTGACTGTCTGTGGAGACAGAGTTCCCCCAACTCACCAAAAAGGCTGTAAAAGTGCTCATTCCCTTCACCTCCACCTACCTGTGTGACGGCCCCTACACACGGCGGCGTGCGTTGACGCTTGGCAGTGGGCGTGTCTTGAGCTTGGGGAGTTTACGCGAGCAACGCGACCAACAACCAATCACATGAATCTCTCCTGTCAATTGCATAAAAGGTTTTACATGTCACACTTTATATGATGAACGAACAAACGAAGTACACTGGATATAAACTCCCCAAACAGGCGAAAACCTACCAGTTTCACCCACTGTCTCTGCCACCTCCCTCCATGCCTGGCTCCTCCGGTTTGTATCGCGGTAGGTGAACAGGGACTGATCATAAAGCACCGGGTGATTCCCTACCGCTACGATGATTTTCTCTTCCATTTTTTGGCATATGAGGAAATGAACTGCGGTCTGGCTCTCCCAGCATACACGCGGTTTGATTGGCTAGCGCTTGAATTGGCAGATTTGCATAAGCGGGATTTGATTGGCTGACGCCTCCGTCGAAGCTTCAAAAGTAGAACATTGCTCTACTTTTGCATCGAGCACCGCGAGAAAAGCTACGCTTTGCTCCCACAATGCAGTTCGGCGAAGCGTGACGTCACCCCATTCAAAGTGAATGGACAGAAGCGTTGAAGAGTCAACGCACGCCGCCGTGTGTAGGGGCCGTGAGTGCGGGTTTTCCGCATTGACTTTGATCAAAAGCAAGTACCAGTCAAAGCTGCAGCCAGAGGATGATCTGTGTTTATTCCTGTCTACATTGCATCCCCGCCAGAGTCCTGCACGGGTCTGATTTTCAAGACCCGCTCCTGCCCTGTACCCGCGACGTGCAATACCGAACCCGCCCCGCCACCCGCACCCAATAGTATTGTGAGGCTGAACAAAAGGACCTTTTGACTATGTAAATGTAGTCTTTTAAAAAACCAAAACATTTACAGACTTATATGCTCCCGGCAACACACTGAACGTCAACTTTGCCTCCTTATTACACTCACCCCTACTTTAGTGGGAACAATGAGTCTGCGTCTTTGATGCGCACAGGCGGATGATGCGGGGATCAGAGTCCTGCATCGGGTGACATGCAAAAAAAGTGATTCGCAGGTGTTATTTTTTCCCAAAAAAAATCCGGGTTCGGTTCTGGGTAAAACAAAGAAGATGCGGGTCGGGTCGCGGGTGTTGCATAATAAATATATTTAAATAATAATAATTCGGGTCGGGTCTGTTGAACTAATTGGCAATATGGTAGTAAATGTGTTTAAAGGTCCTGCCCTCTGGCCATACACTCACACAACCACGGGCGCCGCCAGATTTTAGGCCCCACCACCAGGCACAGGCCATGCCAACCAAGCACAATTGCTGTAACCACACCTCCAGAACCCAACCGACTCATTTATGCTTAAAATAACTCTACCTGTACAGGCTTGCATCTATCTTGTAGTCCAATACTAACTGCACAATATTTACTGACACTGAGCTGTGAAAATATAACACTGTGCAGACGTGCAACATTCTGCTGCAGTAGAATTCCCTATGTGATATAAGACTAACATTCCTGACAATATACCTCAATAGTCATCTTTTATGGTGTAAATGCCTTTTTAATAATAACATTTTTTAATGGAACATTCTCAACATGAATGCATAAATCCAAATAAATATAACTTCAATATGTGGGAAAATACTGTGTTTGAAATGTATAATTGAAATTAGATGTTAGCTTTTTGTTTTGATATATATATATATGTATGTTGTATTCCAGTCTCCCTTCAGATATGTTAAGTGGCATGGCATTCAACACAATGCTGCTCACCTCCTTCAGTTGGGAGAAAAGCTGGTTCAGGTTCAGCATTATGGGGGGACAGGGCTGCTGATCCTAAAGATGGATCTGTTGGTCCTGGCTCCAAGGGGAGGGACAACTGATTTAGTATGAATAGCTGCTAAAAAAGTACCTGCATTTGTTAAATGTCAGCTAAAAGAGCAGTGAAATTAAAAACCTCTGCATTTTCTTTATAGATATTAACAGTACTTAATGTCAGCTTAGTAAAAAAAAAACACAACAATTATTATTTACAATGGACTAGCTTAGCTAACAGACACATTTCCACCACTCATGGACCACACCCACCTTTTCTCTTGAAAAACTGGGTGACATACTGTCGCCCTTTAGTCCCTCTCTCTTGTCTTTCTCTCCTTTCTTTTCTTTTTGAAAGCCTGACTTTGTTAGTCGTTGAGACATGGTACACACTTAAGTACTAGCATCCCTGCTCCTCACATGCTCTCACTCTCTGCTAGAAAGTGCCGTTTGGAGGCGGAGGCGGGACCAAACCATTACATGTAAATAGAAGGGGGTGTACAAACTAGAGGCTTTGGATAATTTACTTTTGGAAGAAAATAAGTTAAATGAATTGTACGTTTAGTGAGTACATTATCAATATAACGTTCTATTAATGTTCATTCTTGATGAATGATGAAAGGTTACTTAAACATTTTTTTCTTAATGTTCTAAAATGGTTTGGGCCCCCGTGGTGAGGGTGTTTGGGGTGGCCAATAGGGTGGCCAGGATTGGCCACCCCCAGCTCCGCTACTGCATTCAGGTGACTAGGGACAGGTGAGAGAATTGATTGGATGGAGAATGGTGATGCAAGAGCCCTCGAGGTAGTGGCTGGAGACAGGGACTAACACTACGGAGACAGAGATTGTGACTGATACAATAGAGCCATACATAGAATATATTTAAAAGAAGAAATAAACATTCAACTTCTAAAACATTTTATGTTTAAGTTATACCTTGTTCACCAGCCTTGTTCTTTAGGGACAATCAAGGTTCAGGCTGCAGCCTTGGTCTGGTGTAACAAGAAGCTTGTGATGGCTAAGACTATTATTTGCTAATGTAGGACAGATACTACGTTATTGTATTAAAGACATTCTTTTCAAAGTTGAAAGTTGAAAGGTCAAATTTCTTTTGATGAATTATTAAAATTTACATTTTGAAGCTCAATTAAAAAATACTCTGAATATGGTTAACTGTGTGTACCACTGATAAAATGTTCCTGTATATTTCCTAGGAGGCTGAACACCTGCTGCAGAGCTTTAATTTAGTTAAATGGCCTCTGGGTGAACTGCCTTTAAACACTTTATATGTGTGCATGGGTGCAAGTCCTTAAGATGTAATTTAATGACGTAAGGAGCTTCTGCTTTAGTTCACACTACATTTTTCTACTCATCTCAAAAAATGACATTTACAAAACATAATTACGCTTCAGTGCTGCTGTGTGTGACCGCTTGACCTTCCTCTGGCTCTATCAGGACACATGTTGAGCTGTGGATAAAAACACTAAAAACTCATTGGCAGATTGCCATAATTGTCAGGTCACAATTTTAACTTCAAATAAAATATATTTTTAAAACTTGTAGGTAAATGATAGAGAGATGACATTTGAAAAGCACATTCGTGGTTCCATGGGGATGGTTCCTTTTAAACTAGACTCGAGGATAACATGGCTTGTAAGTTTCCATCATCCTTTTTTATACCAATAAGAAAAGCAGTGTGATTTTGCAGTGCAAAGAACAAAACAGGCTTTAGTACCAAATGAAAATCCCTGACAGTCCCTGAAGTCTAGATTGAATGTTGACTGATATTTGAAAACCATTTTATCTGCAGTTCACTGATTACCAAAGCTATGTGATCCACGGCTGCCTGATGGAGAACCCGACTCTGGAGCGCTCCATCGCTCTGTTCAACGGAGTGTCGCAGTGGGTCCAGCTGATGGTGCTCAGCAAGCTCACGCCTCAGACCCGTGCAGAGGTCATCACCAAATACATCCACGTGGCTCAGGTAAGACATCTCCATCTGCAGGGCTCTCAAGGGTTTTTTATCCACAAAACATGGACTGTGCATGGCTAGCATTCTCTTCATCTAATACGGTTTAGAAATATTTAACAGAACCAAGGAGAAAGCTGATTGGACAAGAGCAGCGCTTAAGCTTCACATGGTCCAGGCTTTAAACCCTGTCCTGAACTCCTCACCAGACATAAACAGAACCTTCTGTCTGATATTCATGCTGCTCATGACTCAGATGCAACAGTAACGTTTTGTCAACTCTAAACAAAAGCCCTCTTTAGAAAAGTAGCTCATCACATCATTGCTTTTGCTTTCTTTGTGCAACCAGTGCCTTTATTTAAGTGACAGGGTTGAAAGGGGGAGACATAGGGAAGACCCACGGCTAAGGGTCCCAGACCATACCCAGATTCAAACCCAGATCCTGCAGTATGGGCCGCCAGCTCTACCAACTGAGCTATACTGAGGCACGCTTTGGCTTTTTTGGTGTGGACTAACTATAGAATAACCTTTCTGGAGGCCTAATCTCGTGATGATATTGTATTACAGCATTAAAAGAAAGTACTGCATAAGTGAATGAAGATTTTTACACAATTACAAGATAAAGTAATTTGGTTATTATTCATCGCTCATCAAAATGCAGACAAGCATACAGTATAGGTTATTAGAAATAAGTATTTCAATATTGTGCAAGCATCTGAAGTCCTTGGGACTGTTTAAGCACAAAGTCTTCTTAAACCAGTTCAGGATGCTTCATGTAACAGAAAAGAAACCAAGCTATCACAATATGTGCCCATTTAGCAAAACCGCTATCGTACTGTAGTAAAGTGTGTTATAAAGTATGAAAGAAATTACAATAGAGCCCAAAATAAATAGTATCTCAATGTTAATTATAAATACTAAATAATGTCTGGAATAGGTCTATAATAAATACAATTGTTAGATGTGCTTCCCATATCCACTGTCCTGAAGGGCTTGAGTTTGTACAGAATGCAGCACCACAATAGTGTGGATGCCTTCACTGAGGCTGTCACTTTTATTTATATGATTATTTATATATATCTATATAAAAATGTAGTTATAAAGGCTTTAATTACTAACGAACAAACATGAGTGTTTCAGTATTTCTTAATATTAAATGAAAATTAACATAATATTTTATTGATATGTTTGAAAATCGTACAAAAATGTTTGAAGAATATAAACACTGCTACAGAACTGTTTCAGTTGTATTCACCTACCATGTTTTCAATAGACCATCACAGTATGAATGTGAATTATAGTCAGGGGTGCACATAACTGGTACGCATGCGCGGCAAAAATCTGAATTGCGTAACGTCACTTGTGTCACTACGCGCCTTTGCGTACCTCAAAACATCAAAACAAAAGACATATTTCGTCTACACGTGTTTCTTGTCAACACTCAATGGAGTAAACTACGAGACATGTCAAAAAACCCAAAGACATTAAGCAGCTCCGTTGCCGTTTCGCTCCCTGCAAAATATCTTCGGACTTTCCGTGACTGACTGAACTGGGTGCTGGCCGAGCCGCGCAGGACATAACCGACGGACCTGTGAAGTTAGGCCCGGACACACCAGCCCGATTTTGGGAGTCAGAGGCCGTCAGAGGCCGTCAGAGGCCGTCAGAGGCAGTCGGGCATTCGCGGCGCCCTACTCAGGTTTGTGTGTCCCGCACCGTCGTCTCTTTACGGCACCTTTTCACACCTCCCGACGCCTCCCGGGAGGTCAGAGAAAGGGTCCTTCTCAGGTCGACTATTTTCATTTCCTCGGTCCTCGGTCCTCGGTATCACCGGAAGTTGATTTGTCTGCGCCATCTTGAGAAGCGTCCCATGGCTCTTATTTCTGCCGGAGGACCGAGGACCGAGGAGCGAGGAGCGATAATGGAGGAGCGATAACCGAGGAACCACCAGACCATCCTCCGGTGAAATCCTCAGATACTCTCCCCGCCCCCTTACTGTGTATCGCTCACTGATTGGACGATGCAGAGCATGCAATGATCTGATGCTTCTTGACATGAGAGCAGAGTTTCCCAGCGGAGTGAAGAAAACACATGAAACTCACGGGACTCACTCCTCAGTTTATACTGTGTTTTGTTTCAATTCATGTATAATTTAGTTACAAATATGTGATATATCTGAACAACAAAGTGGTCAAAAATTATTTTATTCATTTATTGGAAACATTTTCATGATCGCTTTTTCGTTTTACATTTTCATTTATTGTCATTTCCATTCAGTCAGTCATTAAGTGCTATTTAAAATGTTAATTTGCTACATATCCACACAAACAAACAAAGTGTGCAATCCAATGATTAATGAATGTTAATCTAACTGGGTTTTGATAGATAACATATCTCTTTTTCTTCTCTGAATTATTTTATTTCGATTGTGCACTCTAATCAATATTAATCCAACTATTGTTCGTTTATACATTTTAAGAATGGCGTTTATCTTTTTTGAGAATGAGTTCTTATTTTATTTAATGTATAGAGTGGCGAAGTCACGCCCATCTACTTCCGCCCCATGGGACCTTATTTCGGAAAAATAATGTATTGAAGTCAATGGAGAGAGAAAACTTATCTTTTGATCCCGTTTGAATTGTGCCATGAATTACACATATGATGTTTGTCAATCTTAAAAAATAATTTCCATGTCAAAAAAGTCACAGTTTGTCGTAAAACTGTTGAAATATAAGACTATGAAAAATACGCAACTGGAAAGACTACAAATCCCAGAGTCGCGTAAGTGATGTCACAATTGTTTTCCTCCACTAAAATAGAGATAGCTAAGATAAGATAACGCCATATAGATATAATCTATCTATATGGCGCTGGCTAAGATAAGATAACTTTAACAAGATGCCTGTGTGCTTAGTACCAGGTTGTTATCATACCAGCAATGGGTCTTGCTCATTCTTTTGCTTCCCGTCTGATGAAAGGACCAGGAGTGGCTTGATCAAGTTAGCTACCTAGCTAGTAGCTAGCACGTTAGTTAGCATTACAGCCTTGTCATTTTTATTAGCCTTAACATGAAGTAACATTAAGTAACCCAAAATGTTAAACAGTAAGAGTAGTAGTCATATTTCGTGAACCCTTTGAAGAGTACTGTCACCGGTGTGGTCATTCTATAATACACAATTTAAGCCCGGGGGAGAAATGCTAACGCTAACGCTAGCGATCTTTTCTACTTCATGCTATCTGCACAAATGGTTGACATTAAACATTAAAACGACTAGGCAGTTCAGAGAGAATCAAAGGAAGGCAGGCAGGCAGCTTTGCATGACATTCTTCAGGACGTGTTTCATTGTGGTGATAGTGAGGGTAGTCAATCGTTTTGTTGACAAGACAGTAGTGACGGCCATCTTGGTGACGTGTGTTGTTGACCAGAGATGTAGTTCATTGAGCGTTTCACACAAACAAATGTGTTACTTCACAGTTTTACGACACATTTTTTTTTTTTTGACTTGCAAAATTATCTTTTAAATTGACAAACATCATATGTGTAATTCTTGGCACAATTCAAACGGGATCGAAAGATAATCTTTCTCTCTCCATTGACTTCAATACATAATTTTTCCGAAATAAGGTCCCATGGAGGTCCACCGGAAGGGGAGGGACTTCGCCACTCTATTTGGGTCTACAACAGATGATACAAATGTTTGTGTCAGTAAATGTGTACTAACAGAGGCGGGGGTGTTTGTGAAAATAACGGGGACAGAGCTGGCTGCTGTCAGACGAACAGCTGTGCGGCGTCATCACAAACGGACGTCGCTTAACGTGACGCTCCGGAGGAAAGGACGTCCCATTGCTCTTAAAACTAATTTCCCTGCTTCTCGTGGTTTCCTTGCGTCTCTCCATGCTTCCCTGGTGGGAGGGACTAAACGCAGGGAAACGACGCAAGTGAGGGACGCAAGGATTCCATTTAATCGACCTGAGAAGGACCCAAAGTCGGTCCAAGCAATCACTCTGCTTGGCTGTTCACACTACCGCTGCCTGCTGGTAAGGACAGTTATTGCCACTCGTCGACTGAAGTATTTGCGGTGTGTTCGTAGGCGGGCGACGTAGGCGGGCGACGTAGCCGACGCAGCCGATCTGACTGATTTTAAATGCCATTTTCTTAATGTCTTTCATTTTTTTTGTAAAGCACTTTGAATTGCCTTGTGTTGAAAGGTGCTATATATAAATAAACTTGCCTTGCCTTACCTTGCCTTGCCTTGCCTTGCCTTGCCTTGCCGACGCAGGCGACGAAGCTGACGTAAAAGTCGGGACGCCTTCGGTACGCGTTCTTTGGTCTCAGGTGGGTGTGCACTGTGTAGCGGCCTTTACAGGAGGCAGAGGCTTAGATCACTGGACGACAGAGTTGGTCACCGTGTGCACAGACAGGGTTAACGTCGGTATGAACAACAGAATTGTGCCAAAACTCGGCCAACTGGCTGCAGTGGGAGACTCCCCTGTGCACATTCTGTGCCCCGCGCACACACTGGAGAACTGCGCAAAATCAGCTGATCACAACGTTCACGCTCTGTGGTCAAGCTGCTGCAGTTTTATTTACAACAAAGTGGAGTAAAACACACAGCTGCAAACTTACTCAGGGTGTTATGGAAGAGTTTGAAATCAGACAGAGGTGGAAGAAGTACTCAGATATTGTACTTGAGTAAAAGTAGAAGTACCAGAGTGTTACTCTGTTACAATAAAAGCCCTGCATTCAAAATGTTACTCAAGTCAAATTAGAAAAGTATTATCATCAAAACATAGTTAAAGTACCAAAAGTAAAAGTAGTCATTGTGCAGATTGGTCCATTTCAGAATAATATATATGATATGTTTTGTAATGATTGATCATTAAAGTGTTATCAAAGCTGTTTTACAAATTAGATCAAAGTCAAGTAAAGTACAAATATCTCAAAATTGTACTTAAGTACAGTACTTGAATAAGTGTACTTAGTAACTTCCCACATCTGAAATCAGATATGACTTCAAGTCATGTGATCATTTCTTAGTATTTGATCCTTCCACTTGGCCTCAGGAAATGCAAGAACTTCACAGTTTTGGCAACAAGTTTTGGAGAAAGCAAATCGGATGCTTAAAAAGAGACAGGGAGGTGCATCTTCATCATCTAAATAAATAGAGGACAGTGAAGGAGACACTGAGGAGGACCACGCTTCGTGTGGGGTGAGTACCAAACGCTGTCTCCTGGTACTCATCTGAGTAACTCACTTAAGAAGTTATGTGCACCCCTGGATATAGGGTTGATCCAAGGCAGCATATCTTTAGAACCACTCTCATACATTTCTAATGATAAGTGCAATCAATAACACATTATCATCTCAGAATCAGCATCTGCTTTAATGAAGAGAGTCTAACATCTCTTTGGTTAAATTACATCTTATTCCAGGTTCCTGTCACATGAATGTCTAAACGTATTGATCCCATCTTCAATTTCTCATGAAGAAACTATATCATCAAATATACAGAAAGACTCATCTATTGAGAGAGCAGAGGAGATGGTGTCCTGCTGACAGGCTCTCAGTGATGCTCTCACAGAACACACTGTATTAACCTCAGGGCCATCAGAGTATTATGGGTTGTTTTCTACGACACATTGATGTTTGTTTGAAATATCAAAATAAATGATAGCATCCTCCAAAATCACAGGTTCCCGCTCCATCAGTTGAATCACTATTATTCTATAGTCCTTGCTCTCCAAACCTAGCAGCTGCTCTCTGCTGCAGCGAGCACTCTGATTCGCTAACTCTACCTCTACCTTTGTACCACCATCCTGATCCATCCAGCTCCAAATGCTCTAATATTGTGATTATGGGGTTCATTATGTGTCTGACTGCATGTTATGCAGCTGACACTGTTTGAGCATTATTTGACATCCTGAACCAAAAACCCTTGCTGTAGTGCATATAGGGAAATAACGTGCATCAATATGTTGTTTTGTTCTCTTGAGCAGAAATAATATGTTGCTAACATGCTTCTACTGTTTGTGTTTGGATACGATAAGACATACATGTACTTTTATTGATCCCTGTTTTGTCACAGCAGCATGAAGACAAGCATTCACATGAACGAAACATTCAATTAAATACAAAACAGCAAATATATCTGTATGTTCAGTAAGAATTAAACAAATTACCAAAGGAGAAAAGTTCATATCAACAGTGAAATATGTATACCTAGAGTATCTCTATAGAATATACAATATTATTATACAGATTAACATATAGAATTCAGAAGTATAGAAGTCAGTCAGTGTACTTTGTTAGATAGATAAGTGAAGTGCCTGAGAGCGACAGCCTCGTATTTAATGTACAAACTGAGTGTGCTCTAAATCCTCCCATCTTACTCTCAGCAGGAAAGCAAATAAGCATACTTCCAACAATGTGTTAATAAGCCATTTTTACACTGAAATATAAATATATTCTGATCAATTCAGTATTTAGATCACCTCTGGACTGAAATCTGATGCCAAATCTCATTAAATGTACGGTACCTAGGAAACATAAACTAATGTGTTCATACTACTTAAAGCTATTTAAGTGGTTTTTTTCATTACAGCTTTTCTTTGATGGTTGTCGTGTATTCTATTATATTTTGTATATATCTCCATGTATTTCACTGTCACTAGAAACTCCTGCTTCTGCAGAACTTCAACACTCTGATGGCGGTGGTGGGGGGGCTGAGCCACAGCTCCATATCCCGACTGAAGGAGACTCACTCTTATCTGGCTCCAGAAGTTGTGAAGGTAAGTCGATACGAGTCTTTAAATTAACTTTAATGAACATCCGCTGAAACATTCAGTACACACACACACAGAGAGGCCTGCTCTGTACAAGCTAATGCACAGTTAAAGGAGATCCAATGCTGATGTGTTTGTATGGCGGCAGACTTAGACGTGTTTTTTTTTCATTTATATTTCTTTCTAGGTAATACAAAAATATAAATAATAATACACTTTATTTATAAAGTTTCAAAGTGCTGTTACATAAAAGCAGAAACCTTTATAATACAGAAAATGAAATGAACTAAAGCAACTAAACACATTTTAAAAGAGAAAGTAAAAGTAACCAAAGGAAGTACAACAACAATAAAATTGCATAAAAGTGGGTTTTAAAAGAGATTTAAAAGGGCAGACAGAGAAGGTTTCTCATTTCTCTAATTCCCCTCCTCGACTCCTATCCTCGACGCCTTTCCTCGTGTCTCAGTCCCGCCCACAGGAGATGCGAGCGGAGGAGTCGAGGAGGGGAACCGAGGAGAGAGGAGGGGAAGCAGCAGGCGTTTAGAGAAATGAGAAATCCTCTCCTCTGAGCGGTCATTTTTAAAGAGACGTCCGTTAATGATGACAGGAGGCACAGCACTCTGTCTGATGGACAGAACTGTGTTCATGACCACTTATATATTTACTTTAATTCATTGACAGTGCGGTATAATGAGATAATAACGGGGGGTTGCGTATTGTAACCCTAGTTATATAAGCACAGGCGGAGCCCTCTACTGGACTCTATGGGTACTACTCTAATCATTGATACGTGAGCGTTCACACACTGAGTTTGTATAAACGTAGCCGGCCAATCAGGGCGAGCCTACCTCAATGCGCGTGCAGACACACAGTATATAAGGCGGCCACGCCTCCTGACTGTCATCCTACACCCTCTTCAGCGAGCGGGATAGGAAAGACAGGGCCCCTAGGTAGAGGGCTCCGCCTGTGCTTATATAACTAGGGTTACAATACGTAACCCCCCGTTATATCTCACACAGGCTCCGCCCTCTACTGCAGTGGTTCTCAAATGGGGGTACGTGGACCCCTAGGGGTACGTTGGAGTACTGCAGGGGGTACGTGAGATTTATTTTATGTTAATGAAAAAAACAGCACAAGTAATACATTTAAACAAACTACTAATAGTAGATTAACTACTTTATTCAAAAGTTTACAGTAATTCTGGATAATAAAATGGGAAAAATAAACGGGGTGCTCTCTTTTCCTCTCTCTCTCCTGACAGCCCGTCAGTATCAGTCTCGTGCAGCTCGCTGAACCTGTAATAAGTGACCTGACAGTAAAGAATACACATATTTATAACTAGTATAGCTAGTTCCAGAGTAGATAAAATAGCTAAGTGTGTTAGGTCTTACTCTTAGTGTGTGTTTTGCTCTGCTCACCGGTCCGTCACAGCGGCGGAGCTGTGATCCGGTAGAGCTGCGTATTCTCCGTCAGCAGCAGCTGATCCTGATCTCTCTCTCTCTCTCTTTCCCTCTCGCGTACGGCCGGGTATACTTCACTCGCGTTTATGTGATGTCCAAATGAATCTATCAGATCTAGCTAGTTCTAGTTAATTATATGACTGCCTGCTTATCAAAGGACACCTAAACAATAAACGTTGCTTGGCAACGGGGTGTGGCCGCAAAGTATAGCTCAGCATTATCCATACTGTAGGCTATGTTTATATTAGGGGTCAAAATCCCGTCTGGCGGTTATAGGTATAAATGCTCATATCTTGTTTTCTCTTCATTCCCCACGCCCCAAAATAAATAAATAAATAAATATACCAATTTCCACGTCAAGTTTCAGTTTTGGCGGCAGTTCCTGTTTGTCTAGAAGTCTTGTCATCAGGGCTCTATAAATAGAGTTAACTACGGTAGATATGTCATATTTAATGCAGCCGAAACGTGTATTACAATGGCGTTATGTGATGACTTTCAAAGAGAAAAGCAAGCACACTCGGAATAATGTATTATTTAATTTTTTTTAAATGTTTTCGGATTTCACATCGCATAAACACCAAATCCCAGCGTGCATAGCGGAATATCAGTATGAGAAAAACGGCATCATCTGTCCTTTGACCCTCACATCGTACAAGGAAAAACTTCCAGAGAAAAACCCACAGTTAATATACACACATTCCTTCACATTTAAATTTAAATTTACATTAAAGTGGACCTATCATGCTATATTTAAATGATATATTGTAGGGCCATACCTATACAGATGTAGCAGCTTATTTCAGACTCCAGCTTACAGCTTCCTGCCTGCTACCTGCCTGCTACCTGCCTGCTACCTGCCTAAGACCAGTATCTGGGAATGTTAAGCCCTCCCACTATTTTCCAAGAGGGCGTTGCCAGAATTTCAATTTCAGGATTTAACCAGGAGATGGCGCTTCATTCACAAATACAGAAAGACAACTTTTCATGGACTTTCAGTTTTGTTTAGAAGAGCATTTGAACACATCAATATTTTAGATCAAATAAAGTATATCTAATCTTGTAATTCAATAATATATAGTCTTTATATATTAAATAATCATAATAATAATGTAAATGTTTACATTACACTTCTTTATTTGTCATGCGGTCTACCTACGCTGTAAAATGTATTATCTCTTCGATTTACACACGGCATCTATTGCACTTCTGTCCATCCTGGGAGAGGGATCCCTCCTCTGTTGCTCTCCCCGAGGTTTCTCCCATTTTTCCCTTTGAAATGTGGGGTTTTCTCTGGAAGTTTTTCCTTGTACGATGTGAGGGTCTAAGGACAGAGGGTGTCGTTTTCTCATACTGATATTCTGAACAAACTGTGCTGTTGTATTTGCTGTAAAGTGTCTTTACTGTAGGGTATTTTTATTATATGTACAGCACTTTGGCTCGACCAAAAATCTTTTAAAAATGTGCTATATAAATAAAACTTGATTTGATTTGATGCTCATACTTTTACCTTTACAATCGTTTGCTTTAATATGCAGTATATTTTTTGTATATTTTTGTGTTTGCTTCCTCCTGCTCCCTTTCGGACACATACTGTATGATTTATTATTATTATTAATATGAAGATATTATTAAGATAAGATAAGATAAGATGTCTCACGGTAATTCAGAAGGCTCACAGGTCACATTCCGACCATTATTTAAAACAATGGGTGCTTTCATAATAATGATGAGAAACTATGAAATAAGAAATGAATCAAATTAAAATGTAATTATCATATCATATATTATATAGTGTATTGTATTATTAAGTAATATCATACATTAACCCCATTATAGCAGATGCCACATTGAATGGATGAACACATTTATGCATCAATAATTACAACAGAGTATTTCTCAATACAAGTTGTAATCTAATCCTCTTATTTTACACAATTGACAGACAGTGTTATTTGTACGTCAATAGTCATATATTGTCATAACCTTTTTGTGTGAAATAATTAATATTATTATTATTTCCGCCCACTGTTTGTTGAGCTGCATGAGAAACTGACGGGCTGTCAGGAGAGAGAGAGGGAGAGAGGAAAAGAGAGGATCCGTTTCTCCCGTGTTATTATCCAAAGTTAATGTAAACTTTTGAATAATGTACTTATTATTATAGTGATGAACATTAAAAACAAAGCACGTTGGCTGATTTGGGACCCCCTCACTATTTGTTTTCACTACTTTAATTAAATGTTTGATAAGTGCATGCAGATCACAGTACAGTATGCTCGTTCAGTAAAACACGTACACAGATACATTATTTTGTATTCCAAAAATCAGGAAGTAAAGTCCCCTGGTTTGTGACAAGATGTGAAGTCAACAGATAGTCACTCAGAGGGGGGTACTATTTCTTTTCAAATGCATATAGGCAATGCCATTCATTTACATGTAGGCAACACTGCCCTTCCAGTCAATAATTTGAATTTGAATGGGATGGGGAGATGTGTGTGATTAAAAATGAGTGGCCAAACTAGGACTTAGTTTTTCAAAAGAGAAAATGCAGATATTACACTCAGAAAAGAAATGGTAGACATATCAGTAGCCTACTCTTAGTGCCAAGTTGTCTCAGACAATCTGCATTTCCTAATGTGGGACAGTTCTGTGCAAAATGTGGGACACTGAAAAGTCTATGTTAAAAAGCCTCAGTCACCTTAATTCATGTAATGAAAACATCTCAGGTCAGTAACACTGAAAGCTAAATGTGCAATACCATGTTCAGCTATGCTACTATTTATAATGTTATTGTTGTTACAACAGAAGATGTTTTTCTTTATATTGAAGTTAAATGCATCAATCTGTGACACTTTTATTTTGTAAGATAGCAAGGGGGGGCATATTGTGATAACCAGGCCTGTCATAAAATGCACCCCACCCAAAAAGATGTTTGTATTAATCCCACCCTCAAGCATTTTTTAGGGTATAGTTGTAGGACTAGTACCAATGAATGGAGCAAGTTTCATGAATGTGACACTTTTATTATGTAAGATAGCAAGGGGTGCATAACGTGGCAAAAATATGCTGACAAAGACTATGTAAACATATATTTTGATTATTATATGACAAATATGTAGAATTAAACAATACATTGCCTCTGTGTTTAGTGTCCTGTCTGTCTGTAACTTTGTGTGGTAGTGTTACCACTGACAGGTCTCTCTTGCAAATGAGACCTTGTGTCTCAATGAGATTTTACACCTGTATAAATAAAGGCTAAATAATAATTTTTTTTTTTTTAAAGCACGTCTATACAGACAGGACGTAACAATAATAACAAAACAAAAAGATTAAAAAAAACAAAAACTGAAAAGGAAGTGACGAATGAATTTCGACGCCACTACCATCAAATACGGAGCGAAAAGTTTAACCACAAGAATCAAGACTATATGAGCTACCACTAAACAACTCACAGTCTGAAAATTACCATTAACCTGTTACGCACGGCCCCCCCGGTACCGGGCGGATAAACGCGTCATTTGCAGGAAACAACGTCTAAGGAATCTTAAT